AAAGGGGGTGGGGTTGTGGGAGGGGGGGGGGGGGGGGAGAAAAGGCTTTAGTATGGAGACCAAAACAGGTGGTTACTCATAGTATCTACAACTGTACAGAACAGCTTATCGTGTCACACAGTCATCTGTAGTTTGGACAGGATTACAGTTTGTTTTGTGTGTTCGACATGGGCACAGCCACCTTATTATTTTTAGTGTTCGGACGCGGGGAAAAAAAAAAAAAAAAAAGAGTCTGTGCTTGGTTTACAACCGCTGTTTAAAAAATGAAAAATTAAAAAATAAAAGGCAAACACTTCCCAGGACGCCTGGGCTCGTACTCCGTCGTAGTGTTTACAGACCCTGTCCGAGGTTTGAGTCATAAAAAGATCCTCCTAAGTGCTTCGTTTGCTAACTGCAATAGAAATTCTGCATAATCATAGGCTGGCTATCTCTGCTCGGTATGGCGCAGCACGTCCTGCTCGCTGGTACGCTTCTCTAATCTCAATTTGGCAGATATGACCTCTTTCAAGTGAGCATGCGTTCTCAAGTTTAGGTAATTTCATTTGACCTTTTTTTTTTTTTCCTTTTTTTTTTTAATTTATTTTTTTTTTTTCCTAAAAGAGTACAAATTCAGACCAGATAATTATGTGGGTGTGATAAATGGCTGGGCGAAGTCTGGCTAAAGAAAGAGCTGCATGCCCTGCTGAGCGTTAGTGTTGGGCTTGCCCCAAGGAAAAATAAAAAATGAACAACTAAAACATCATTATCCCAGAATAGAATAAAATAGACTAACATATATTCAGTGATCTTGATATGTCCTTTGATTCTCTAGCTAGCAATTTAAGAGCATAACAGTTGTGGTAAGAGCTTTTATGCTTATGGGAGCATGAACTGGAGCAAACAAACACACATCTCCAAGCTATTGAAATGACACTAAACTTTAGGATTCATGAATATACAAACAAATGAGAACTAGTACATCTTTGTAAATAGTAACCAATACTGCCGGCAGTCTATACGTCTAATAATAAAAATGTTACTTGCCCTCAGGAACAGTATAATCCCTTAAAAAATAGACAACTCATGATAAGACATTAAATGAAAAAAAAAAATACAGCACCTATAAATAAGCAGAATAAAAACCAAACTATAAATGCAAAAAAAATAGCAATAAAACCAAGCTACAGTAAATCATAGTATTACACTACTTTGTGAGAAGATTAATGCAATAGTAACGCATCAAACAGCTTAAAGAAGGGTGTCAGTTGTGCACTAGTAGTGTGTGCAAGTAGATATACGAAATATGACCCCACTCGTTAGAAACGCCCAACGCTCCTCGATCGCTCGCGCACGTCGTGTGTTCGTGCATCCATGCAAACTTACACGCACGCACGCGCACACACACTGGGGGAGAGGGAGGCAGTGGGCTGACAGGCACTGAGGGCTTGTGTAGGACAAGGGAGGGAAGTGATATGCCTTAAAGTTTGTAGTGTTTACAGTAGAATTCAATGCAAAAAACAGACACACACACATCCCTGGATTCAGGATAGACTGGAGAAGAGTGGAAACTACTCACAATCGGTAAGGGTCGGGTGGAGGGTCAGAGGTCGGGGGGAGGTTGGGATGAACTCACTTTGACGGAAAACCAGCAGAAAGTACACGATAATCGAGCTCAGCAGTTCAACTCTGCTCAAACTCGTCTCTTTTTTTTTCTTCTTTTTTTTTTTCAGTCAAGAATCATAATATAAGTCTTAAAATTTTACTGTGTGAATTGACCTCAACCCTGACTGACATGCAGGCAAGTATAAATGCACACAAAAAGAGACACACACACACACACACTCTTCCTGATTTGGCCTATAAAAACATGGTTTGTGAACAGAGAAAAAAAAAGTTTCTTTTTCGTCAGTCGTGCAAACGCACGCAGCTGCGGCGTGCACAACCTAGGAAAAAAGAACAACACGAGACACACGAAGAGCGTCGCCATGTCGGACAGCTACAGTACTACATGGATGCATCGTGTCGCGTCTCGATGACGCAACATTGTTCCGTTCTAATTCACTTGCCTTTTTCTTTTTGTTGCAAATTCTAGCAGTAACTTGTTTCTCTCTTCTGTCGTTTTTGCACTAATTAAAAATGCTTTCCTAAAATTCCCTATTTCGTATTCTTTAGAGTCGATAGACTGTGCAATCTCTTATTGGCAACCTAATTGCAGTATCAAAAACAGATCATCCGTCATCCTAAAAAGAAGAAGGGGGCGAAAGGCGGCAAGAAAAAGTCGCTTCCTTCCTTCCTTCCTCTTCAGATGAGTGCGTAAGTTTGCGAGGAATTAAAACGATCCTTCTGGCCATCACATGGCAGTCAGCAGGACAGGATATGGGACAGAACAGGTCAAAGTTCATTGTCTTATTTCAGTAACCATGGCAGCTCAGCCAGCAGGCTTCCACTACCCTCCAAAGAGCGTAGGAGTGACTTAAAGAAAACACGCTGCTGCCGAGAAGAGACGTACGCACCACATTTAGGTGTATACACACACACACATACACATAAAACACACACACAGGTGCACGCCGACACAATCCCTAACGTACAAACACACACGCAGTGAGTGAAAAAGGCAAAGGGTTTGTAACAGTCACTCTACAGTGTGAAAAAAATGAGGCGTCTCACTGAGTGAGGGGAGGTTTGTGGACACTTGGGAGGTGAGAAGAAGAGGAAAAAAAAAAATCTCCTTTAAGAAAGTGAGAGTTCTTGTAAGAGAGTTTCTGTCTCTATCTATCGTCTATCAGTGTCTAATCACTGTGACAGCTGCTGTGTCAGGCCTTGCCTGTGATACTGAGTCCAGGTTCGAACCCCGGCTGCGGGTCAGACCCCCAGCTCAGGACTGACCAGTTCTGGTGCACCAGTGGCTGGTGATAAGGGGGGGAGGTACAGCAGGGCCAGAGGCCAGCAGGACGGCTAAGTGCTTTTTCTCAGTACAAAAACAAAACAAAACAAAAACAAAAAAAAACTCAGTTACAAAACAAAACAAAACAAAAAACAGGAGAGACAATTCTCTTATTTTGTTCTTCTACGTACTCCGTAAAATCTTCTTTTTAAGGGTTTGCCAACCACTCTTTGTTTCTTTCCATTTTATTTGTGGTTTTTTTTATTATTTTTTTTGGAAAGCTTCTATGCAATAAAAATGGCTGCTGAGCTTGACTTTGGCTGTGACCGCTCTACGACTGGAACAGAGCAGGAGGGGTTTCCAAGGTTAGAGGTCGTGAGGTTATGAGACGGTAAGGACGAGGGGAGGGGTTGGGGGTCGGGGTGGAGCTAGAACTCCCACTCTGACGGGTCCTCTTTGCTGGCGGCCTTCTCCAGCCGGTGGATGATGTTGTTGAGGTTGGCCGCCTTCTTCTTGCGCAGATTGTTGTCCCTGGGGTTTCTGGCGGGGACGTTCGTACTGGAGGCGGAGCTAGTGGAGGACGCCTCCGTGAGGCCGAAGATGCCCAGTCCGCTCTGCACACAGCTGGAGCCCGGCCCAGCCAAGCCCGAGGCGCTGCAGTCCAACTCTGCGGGGGAGTCGTTGGAGCCCCCGGCCTCGGACTCTACCTCCATGCCCTGGTCTTTGCACGCTCCTCTGTGGTCCTCCAGGCCCACACCCAGGCCCTGGCGGGTCTCCACCGTGCCCTCGGACTCCGTCCCGTCGCAGCTGTCCCCTTCCCCTGATTTGGACCCGCGGAGGGACGGAGAGCCCCCCTCGCTGCCGGGCCCCATCCCCCCAGCCGCCTGGATCTCCTCTATGAAAAGCTCTCTTCGGATGCGTGACCTGGAGAAGACGGTTCAAAATATATTTTTTTAATTTAACCACTAACCATGTTCTTAATATTAGGAATACATAAAAATATAAACAAATCTCTCAAATCCCTTTTAAATAAACATCTTCTTGCCTAAAGTGCAGTGACACAGCATTCCCTTAGTGAACGCTTGATCATTTGTAACAGGAGGCATCTGAAACTAAAACCATCAATGTGTGAAAAGCTCAGTTCTTTCTGTTTGATTTAACATCAATACACTGTAGGACTGATCTGTTTATTATTTTTGGATTAAGGGAATAATAATTATATTGTATTTTCTGGGGGTGAAGGTTAAAGGGCTAATTCGATTTTTATTAGGTGAAGCTAAAAACGCCACATGAAGATTTCTGGGTAAAACAAATTTACAGGCAAGTTTATTTGCCATCTTCAGTGCAACTTGTACATATTTTTTGTACAGTTGAGGCTTAATTACGGCTCTGAATACATTGTCTTAATTAATTAATGTATTACTAAGTAAGTTGACGATTATTTCAACTATCGTTTCAACCCTACAAAAACTATTTGGTCAAATGTCCTTTAAAGAAGTCGACCTCATCCTCATTATGACTGGCTGGTTTGCTGACACAGACTGGGATTTAAACGTTCAACTCAATAACACTGAGGTCAGAGTAACTAATAAACGACTTCTTGTTTCCACCCTCCAGCCCAAACAGTTCACCTCAGATACGAAGGAAATCCTGTTGGGATTGTCAGAAATCACTGATGACTCGGCCTGTAAAACCAGCTGAACATTTATTTCTGTGTTTAAAAGTCAGGTTTGCACCAGAAGATTAAAATCTTTAACAGGCCAAAATTAATAGGACAATATGTTTGCAAACCTCCCGTCAGCTTTGTAAAGTCTGATTGAAGCATTGTGTCTCTTGCCAGTTGGCGTTCAGGATTAGATTCAGGACTGACCTGTAGTTATGAAACCAGTTGATGACGGTGCTGGTCTTCAGGTTGAGCTGGGAGGCCAGCTCCTCTATGGTTTTAGGGGAGGGATAGGGCTTCTGCTGATAAGCCTTCTTTAGGGCCTCCTTCTCCTCGGGGCCCAGCACCACCCTGGGCTTCTTCAGCTGCTGCTGGCCCACCGGGCTCTGGGAGCCCTGCATGTAATCGGGCCCCGGTAAAACTCCGTCCACAGAGTGGCTGTCGCTCAGGGAGCTCAGCCGCCTTTTCATGTAAGCTGGAGAAAAACAAAAACACAAAAAGATGAAGTGAATACTTAATATTAATATTAATACTTAAGTATAAACCTATACCAACTGATGGCTAGATGACATTATTAAAAGAGAAAAAAAAAAGGAAAAGGCCAAAAATGTGCTTTACTTATGTACTATATAAATTCTTATACTTTATTCATCTTATTATATATTTATATGCATATAAAAAGAGTATAAATACAAAAAAAGGACAGAAAAACAGGTGACATCATTGCCCAGATGTGTAAAAGTAGATTTTTATAGGAGAAGATCTGCTGAAGAAGCTTTTAACCAAATAGATTTTGTTTTATTGCTTTTGTTATAGGTTCCTTAAAATCTGGTCAAAGATGCCTTAAAGGGGCAGTGCTGGCTATTTTCCAGGCACAATGTGCCACTTTATAGCACCATCAGTTGTTATAAAAATGCTCTGTACATCAAACAGGACTTAAAGGAAATTTGACTTCACAATTTAACACCTTATAGAGCACAAACAAAAAAAAGAAAAAAAAAAAAGAAAGAAGATGAAAATTTGGAAAGATGTTTTTAAAGCGACATGCATTGATTCTCTCCACACCTGACTACAGGTTTCAGTGGCTCATGATGTGATGGAAGGCAGCATCATGTATATGAAAAAGTGCAGAGTGAGAAAGAAAAAAAATTCAAAAAACCCCCACAACCCTCATATTTTTCTGGTATCATGCAGACCGAACTTAAGGTCAAAAAATGACACCAAAGACCTAACAGCTCCAGTAAACCCAGGCACCACTAGATGGTGCTCTCGCCCTTCTCAGCATCTTTACCCAGCAAACAGGCAGCCTGTTTACTCCAGGCACCAGCAGCTGAAAATGAACAGCTCGTGGCAGCTTCAACATGAGGTTGACATTTTCCCCAACCCCGATACACGCTGCCAGATATATTAATGTTTCAGGGGAAGAAACCCCTCAGAGCAAGGTTAGCGCTCTCTGAAAAGTTGCGCGCTGCCTCACAGGGCTGGCAGCGCCAGAGCGAGAGGTCAAATACGGTTAGTCTAGATTAGGTCCATGTCTTTCCTCTGGGCTCCGCTGGTGGTCCGGACCGCTGAGTTATTTTTATTTTTATTTTTTTGGTCAATACTCGGGAGTGCGCTCTCTGATCCAAAACCTCCAGAAAGATGTGAGGTTAGCTTGCCACGGCGGTTCTCGAGTGGTAAAGAGATCCTGGACGGACGGGTTCAAAACCAACGTTTCAGGAGGGAAGTGCTTTAGGTGGGTTGTCGGTAGAGTCGGGGGTGAGGAGGCAAAGTCTGCTGGCTTTGTAGGTTTTTAACAAATCCCACCACCAGAGGATAATGCAGCACGACGGAGCGACAGAGAGAGCGACGCGCTTACGAATGATGGGCAAAGGGAAAAAAACAAAAAAAACAAAAACACAAGCCTATAGACACTGATGATTATTATGATGATGACGATGATGATGAAGAAGAGTGCTGATGAGTGTGAGTAAGCAGCCCTGCGGCGGTCCCCGAGCTGTCACATCCAATACAGGATGTGATGTCTGCGGCCCTGATTGGTACAGACAACACACCAAGATGACTGTGATCTGCACAACATGCTCTGCTGTCCTGCACAAAGGATAGCGTGTGCGTGTGCCATTGTGTGTTCCTCCTAATGTATTTATAAAAATAAACACTCCGATGACCACATCTCTGTGACCTTTTTTTTCTTCTTTTTTTTTTTTTTTTTTGTTTACTAGTTTTAAAAAAGGAATTTCTTTGCCGTCTGTCTTTGAGCTTCTGCTGCTTCACCTTTCTTCTCCAGGCGCTTCATGTCCATGAGCTTCTCCACGCTGTGCGGGTCCTGGAGCCACAGCTGCATCCGGACAAATGGCTCCCGGCCCTTCAGGCTCAGCTTGTGCCAGGGTTTAGGCCTGGCCAGCAGGTCTGAGACAGAACCCTGAGTCAGACCCAGGATGGTCTCCCCGAACAGTCGCTGACCTTGTGGAGGAAAAGGGAGAAAAAAAAAAAAAGGTTTGTTTTCAGACACAACATTCGGTGTATTTCATGTGTTTGTGCACTTTTTCCATGACAAAATTTAAGCACATTTACCAAGGTAAGTTTTCAAACTTTTCCAGCACCACACTTTGGAGATAAAAACAACAAATCAACGAGAGGCGACAGTTTCAATTTGCTAAAATGTGACATCATTTATTACTGAGAATGTCTTGTTATAGTTTTCTAAATAGCAGGGACAACGTAGACTAAAATATAACAACACTTTATGGTTTGAAATGTTACACAATAAACCCGATTGGTCTTAGAACAAGACACCAATTTACCAAAAAAAAAAATGCCCCCAATTTTAATAACTCTGTGTAACGAATAAAATATCAGAGAAGTACGCATATCAAAAGTGTGTGGTTTGAATATCAAGCACTTTATACAGAAATCAGCACTTTCCAAATCTTGAAAACAAAGAAATTCAAGCACTTTCAAGGATTTCAAGCACATGTATGAGCCCTGTTTACGTGATAAACACAATATAGTGCTTAGTAATGGTGAGGAGGAAGGAAAACGACGCATGCAAATATTTTTACAAATCAAAATGTGAGAAGCGTGGCTTTGTTCAGCGTCCTTTACTTTGATACCCCAAAATGAAACCCAGATGTCACAGAACTGGTGCGTTTATGTGTAATTTAATCTCAGCTTAAATCCAGATGTTCATATTGGCTACTACACAATCAGATTTGTACAAAGTGTTGACGAAAGCAAATAAACTGTTTTATGAATTGTCTGTGTTTTCAGTTTGATTGATTTGAGTGAGATCAGAATAATGAATTATCAAACATGTCTGCAGTTAATTATTACACTGGTTTTTCACCAATTAATAATCTGTTAAGTCATATTTGATTACATCAACCCGTCCAGGGACTGCAGGTGGAAATTAGCTGTTTGTGCCATAACCCGGCACCAACCTTCAAAAAGGTTAATGAAATGTTGGTACTTTTGTCTCTGTGTAAATAAAACTGTAAACAGTTCTGTGGAGGCTTCACAGGTTTGCTAGGAATCATAATTTAGAGAAGAAACGGCTTCACGAAGACCAAGAAACACAGCAAAACATGCAACTAGAGCTTTGGAAAGGAATAAACTTATATTCACCAACACTCCTTATCCAGTCTGACTGAAACTGACCTATCTCCAAAGCAGAATGTGCAAAAGCGGGTAGAGAAAGAAAGATTTGTGGCTGGTATTGTCATGTACGTTGACACCACCAAGTTTCAACTTTGCGAGCGACAATAAAAGCAGAACACACTTCCCAGATTTTGCTCTGCAAGAAACAATGAAAACCATTTAGCAATCTTTCTTTCACTCTTATGCACTGCTTTAGGCCAGTTCATCACGTAAAACTCAAAGAAAACCCATAAAAGCTTGAATTTCTATGTGAAAAAGTTCAACAGGGTTCAACATTTTCACAAAAAAAAAAAAAAAAAAAAAAAAAATCAAATCCTGTGTTTCTTACCGAGGTTATTATCAGTTAGCACCTCCTTAACCTTCTTGGTAATGGCGTACGTGTCGAGCTCGGGAGACATGGCGACCATCTCCTGGATGCTGAGGCCAGAGTGGCCCGGTAGGGGCAGCGGCGTGCCGGGCTGGGACTCCCCACCCGAGGGGTCTTCAGACAGCGGCTTGAGGCCGGAGGACTGCGAGGCGAGGGGGTCCCCGGCCAGACCGTTGACGGACTCCTCGGCCGAGCTGAGCGGCGACTCGGGAGCGGGGCTGCAGCTCGCCGACGTCTTGGGAGTCCCCTCTGCTTGAGCGGAACGGACAGGGTGACAAAGACCATGCAGTTCAGGTGACATGTTGCATTATGTGTGTGCAGAGTTTCATCTCTGCAATGAATTTAAGATTTCCGTAAAAAAAAAAAAAAAGCATTAAAAAAGGTGCTTTAGTTTTCGGTTTGAAACCTTTTTTTTTTTTTTTTTTGGCTTCCTCCTCTCATTCCTTCATGTATCTGTGTAGTGCTGCTGCGCCGCTCAGCAGGCTGGAAGAGAGCAGTCATGAGGAGCTGTCAGTGTACATTAGCTGCTGTTTACACCCCCAGAGAGAAAAAGAGACCCACGCGCGCGCACACACACACACGGCGCTGCCATCTGGCGCTGCAACACTAACTTGTCTATGACATGACAAACCAGCAGCTTGCTGGCTGACACTGCCACAGAACTGGGGATGTGGAGGGAGAGCAGGGGGGATGGTGGAAGCCAGGAGCAGGAGGAGGGCGGAGTGAGTGACAGGCTGACAGTAACAACTAGCCACTAGCGCTAATCGGCGTCAGGTGACGGTGTTGGGTCAGGTGAGGAGCATGCGGACCGCGGGTCGGGATCGGCTCACCTTGGTTCTGGGCTTGCGGGACGTGCGTGTTCTGCGCCTGGTCGCCGTTGAGCCACGTCTGCATGCGGAGGTACGACGGCTCCCTGCTCCTCTGGTTCAGCTTGTTCCAAGGTTTGTGTCGAGTTAAAGTGTCGCTCAATATTCCCTGCAACACACGGTGAAAGAACAGCTCAGTCACGTCGGCGAATCCTGCAGGGTTTCCCGTCGCCGTATTCCGTTAAGACATTTCAGACTTTTCCCAGATTCTCATTTCAGGAGGAGCGGTCAAGTTTAGGTAAACGGAGAAGCGGAGAGGTAAATAGATAGATGGAGAGACAGGCTAATGGATGGATAAATAAACAGAAATACAAACAGATGGATGGATAAATAAATAGCTGGATAAAGTAACAGACTGATTAAAGCTGGAACGGTTAATCAAGATGGATCAATTATTGAAGTAACTGTCAGCTAATAAAGTGACCAATTAATTGTTACATGGTATAGATTTGCTAAAAGACACTGAACAACACAGGAAGAGGAATAATAAAACTGTACAAAATAGATACATACATGGACAGAGAGACTAATACAACAACACATGGTGGAGGAAACCAAAACCAGAAGTATAGATGAATGGAGTGATTCACAGATTGGAAAGATGGATTGATATGAATGGTAAGATTGAGAGAGAGAGAGACAAACTTCTGACAAAGACATTGTGACTGGAAACGAAGTTTGAACTACTGCATTTTTCCACTCAATTGTCTTTTCCTACAACCACACAGACTCTGAACAACTCAAATAAAGTTTCATAAATTCTCCGGTCAGTGAAGGAACTCTGACTTCACATCAGGAGGAGGACACCCTTCTCGGCTCTCACCTCTTTGGAGTCCTCCTGGTTGTGGTTCTCCTCTCCCACCTGGCTGGACATGGCCCTCCGGTGGTCCGAGTGCATGTTGCTCCACCACTGCTCCCTCCAGTAGCCCCCTCCCATGGCGCTCCCGGGGCGGCCGGAGCCCTCCGAGGGCCGGCCCAGCCTGAACGTGCCGTCGGCCGACATGTCGATCCCTGAGGAAGCCCGGCCGTCTCGTTTCCCGCCGGAGCTGAAGTCCAGCACTGGAGACGGGGACGGAGGCGAGGACAGGTGGGAGCTCGGCGGCTTCTTGAGGGAGAGCGCCAGGGAGTTGTAGGGCGGCAGCGGGGCGGTGAGGGACGAGCCCAGGATGTCTCTCTGAGACAGAGACGCGGAGGAGGAAGACGCAGACGAGGCTTTGAGGATGGGCTCCAACGCCGCCTGCTGAGCCTCCATCTCCCTGCGCGCCTGCTCCAAGATGGAGCGGATGGCTTCGTCCGATCCGCTGCCCCCGCCGCCTCCTACGCCGCCTCCGCCCCCTCCTTTTAGCCCCATGTAAGACGGCTGAGCGTGGGACAGGTCTATTAAAAGCAGAGGAAATGGGCAGTCAGGAGAGACACGGGCGCAGCGGCCGTCTTTAACGCTCCGGTTACCGGGGAGATGAGGAAATAAAGGAGAACTCACCAGCTTTCTGCACCTGCAGCTCTCTTTTGGCCTGTTCCAGGATGGACTTGATGGCTTCATCCGAGCCCGCCTCCGGGGTGCGGACGCGAGCCGTGATGTTACCTGTAAGGGACAGAGGGTGGGGTGGGGGGGTCAGGTGGGGACAGGAAAAGACGACATGAGGCGTCAAGAATAAAACAGGAGGATACAACCAGCAGAATGAATAAATATTCACTACAGATGCAGCTCTGCAACTCGGATCATCATCAAAAAGTTTATCTCAGCAATTCAGTTCGAAAGTGAAACTTGGATTCAGAACAAGCAGAGTGATCAGTTTTAAACATTTATTTCTGTGATTACGGTGCGTAATAATAAAAACCCACATCTCTGGCTTGAAGAAAGCCAATCAAAAACGACTGAGTCTGGTCAGTCTACGCCTGGTCAGGGCTCCTTTTGCTTCAAGCACTTTCAGTCAAATCCAGCAGAGGTGCTGCTATGCTCGGCCGTGTGAGCAGAAAAATAAAAGGAGCGTCTCTGTAAAGCTCATCAACAAAAGTGAAGCACGAACGCTACAAAAACACAAAATCTTACCAAGTATTTTTGGGTTTAGTTTCTTGCCGGAAATTTCTTAAAACACTTGAAATTCACATAACTTTTTGGCAAGACATGCAAGCGTGTTTTAAGTGTGTAACTTCCTTAATACTGACAAAAAAGTTCTAGTTCCACTGGCAGATTATTTCACTTATAACGAGACATTTTCCCCATATTGTTAGTGAAATAATCTGGCAGTGGAACTAGTACCTTTTTCATCGATATTAAGGAATTATTTACTTTAAAAAAGCTCCCATTTTTTGCTGAAAAGTTACTTGTAAGTCTGTTTTGCCTTATTTTAAGTGTACTAAGGTATTTGCACTAGAAACCAGGCCTGAAATCCTTGGCAACATTTTGGTTTTGCAGTGAAGCTGCTATGAATTTTTATGGCCGATAGCTGTGCTGCCTTTAGACATGATGGAATGCTGAATTGAAATTAAATCCGTAAATTTATATAAATCTGAAAAGAGAACTGTGTCAAACGGTCCAGTTCTCTTCTAGCTAGTTCAGCTATGACTTTGTTGCCGGTACTGGAGAGGCAGAACGAAAGGAGCAGACCGACTGTGGCTCCTTTAGCAGTTTGTCCTCAACAGTTTTTCCTATCACCCAACTTTCCCTTAATGTGCTTAAATGCATCACTCTTCTTTAAGATGCCTTTTTATGGCTCACCCTGTGCGTGGAGGGTGTCCTCTGCATGACCGTGAGGGCCAAAGCAGAACACGTCTGCTCTTTTCTCTCATGCAGTATTCAACTTTTCTGAGAAACTCCATTTTGAATTTCCATCAGCTGTAAGCCAAACTCAAAATGAACTAATTCTTGAAATGACTTGTACCGTGTTGAACACGGTGATGTGGATTTCAAATTTTATTGTGATATTTTGTGGTACCGTCGCGATGACAATATTAGTGATGCAAGATATTATCAATGCCAGCATTCAGCATCAGGCGATATTAGTCTGATAACTAAGATATTAACAGATATTTGCTTTTTATCTTGTTTCCAACATATAAAATATTGGCAAATATCAGTAGTAAAAGCAATATCAACATCGGTCATCCATATCAGCCTAAATTTTTATTTGGTGTGTCAAAAAATTCTGGAAAAAAAAAAAAAAATGCTTCTTTTTTAAAAACTTTTTTCCTTTTTTTTTTTTTTTTACTTTTTCCCCTGTGACTAGATGGCATTTATAGTGCCACAAACAAAAATAATGCCCTTGAAAAACATTTCCATTTGAAACAGGCGTATTCCTGCCACTATCTGAAAAAATAAGTGTGATTTACATCAATAAACTGTCCACAGTAACAAGATTTACTCATATTTTCAAATTTACTGAAATTTGTCATGGAACAAACAGAAGAGAAAATTTTAAAAAATAGCTTATTTAACATAGTATCAAGAAAACGTTCACGATAATTGATAAACGATACGATAAATGCCCACCCCTGATGTTGAATTGATCTATATGAGAGTTTCATTTTTTTGAATAAAATTACTGAAATAAATTATCTTTTTGATGACGTTCTGATTTAACTGATAGGCGCCTGCATTTCACAACACAAAGACCAACATTCCCAACACTGAACTGCACAGCGACGGCACTGGAGAGCGCCCCTACGTCTCCCCGTGTGGAGTGCACACACATGCACACTTCGGCGAATAAAAACACTCCCCACAGAACAACAACTACCAATAAAAGGCCTAAATACACATGCTGGGTTTTTCCTTTGACGCAAGTCGCTGGAACTGTGCGGTTGCCTTCAAGGCACATTTACATCTGTATGCCTGCCTGCAATTAATAAACGGCGTCACACACTCATACGCACACACACGCGCGCGCACACACACACACACCATGGATGCGGTTTACTCCAACACAAACATGCCACACAGACACAAACGTGCCAGAATCTCTGCATGTGGACGGGACAGACCTGTGTGTGAAGGTGTATCGGAGTGGGTTCTCCGCTTCGGAGCGTCCTGAAACACTCGGCTAAGCTGGGGCTGGCCTGAGCCCTCTGTTAAAAACAATACACCACACACTAAGTTACAGCACTTTGGTGTTGCTTTGTGTCTTCTTTTTTTTTTTTTTTCTACAGCTATACTACATGGTGCCACACAGCGTCCTGCACGTTGCTCCGCCTGATGGACATTATGAAAAAGGTGCATCTCTATAAATAATAATATCACTAAAAAGTGATTTTAGAATTTCATTTGTTGCATTTCAAATCATTTTGAGGATTACGGCTTACAGCGAATAAAAACCAAAACGTCCAGTTTCTCAACGAAATGCCACTTTAGGTGGTTTCACTGGGTTAAAATTGAGATTTCCCAGTAAGTATTCAGGCATTTTGAAGGACTTTCACTTTTCCCAAACGATATAGATCTTATAACCAGGCCTGTCGCATTAACGCATTTAGCCGAATGATAAATTGTCCCAGTAAAACCATTTTCAAGTAATATAATGAAAATGGCATAATAATGCAAGATCACCCTCTGAAAGATCAACAGACTGGAAGTGGAAGACTTTTTAGATACACAAGGAGCAGCTCAAGATCCAAAAACGACAAATAAAGACAGAAATAAAATACACACACAAACAAAAATCATAAATGGATTATAACGTCTGTAAATAAAACTGCTCTCCAAAAAAATATCCGGAGTTTATTTTAATTTATGATGCAACTAATTGATTCATTGCTTATTGTGACAGGCTTACTTATAACCAAGATCCTACAGCTGAAGGAGAAAGGGGAGGTGGTTGTGATGATCAAACGAAAATGTTGATGATCAGCATCAACGATATCACAATGTTTTGTTTTCCGAGAAAAGTTGGAGCCGAAAACAATCATCGGACCGACTGCTGACTTTACAGTCGTCTCTGCACCAGGCGTTGAGTAGAAGTAAAAAAATAAAAATAAAAATGTAAAAGTAAATTATGGATTTCATTTGCGAAAGAAGTTGCCAAAGAATAAAGGAAAAGTTGTGATGGAGACGTCGCACAGCTTGGATGACGAGTCCCTCCAGAGAGGATTTAAGGAGCTTCTAAAGACTCAACACTGAGACAAAATAAAGCTCTTTCTCTGTTTTATGGGGAGATTTGATTACTTTTTACCTTACTATTATTATAAGTACTGCTTCTTTTTTTTTACATTATTTTTACAGCACATTGTTTTAAAATGCTTTATAAATAAACTGATACTGCCTGCTGGTGTTGGTCTTTATACAGGTAAGATTTCATTTCAGCGAACGTCATGCTTCTCTTTCACGAGAAGCTTAACCAGTATGGTAATTTTTCAATTTTCAATGTAGCTTCTTGTTGGCTGCGAGCCAAAATCTAAATTCTGAAATTATTTTTTTTATTTATTTATTTTTTTACAATTTTTCAATATGATAATTGTATTTATTGAGATGCCCCTGTGAACGCGCTGACGTTTAGCACCTGTGGGCGGAGCAGTGGTTAAACTCCTGCCTGATGAAAGCCACGGCAGAAACGGACTCTGGCTGAAGCAGAGGTAGACAAAGTGCAGGTTCGGTTTATAATACTTTTTGTTCCACCGAGGCCACCTTCAATCAGAAATGTTCTGATGCGTTAAGAAAAGCAGGCCCGGGCTAATCGAATCTACCCCGCAGTTAACAGTACATCCCTGCCTTCCTCCTGGTTCCCTACCGATCAATACCATTGATGTGTGAAAGGTTTCTGTATTGATCACAATAGCGAGGAGAGGCTCTTGGGATCGGTGTGTGACTAGGAACTCATTCAGTACACACAGGTGTGGGACAGCACAGGAGGCGGGAGGCAGAAAGACAAATGAAAAAAAAAAGAAGAAAAAGCTAGTCTGTATCGACAAGCTGATCAATAGCTCTGCACACACACACGCATACACACACACACAGAGATCCATTAAAGCACATGTGTCAAACTCAAGGCCAGGGGGCCAAATCTGGCCCACCATAGTTTTATTTTTATTTTTTATTTTTATGTGGCCCTCTAGACTTCAGAGGTGGTTTAAACCTTCAAGATGACAGTTGTGAGCTTAAATCTTTTTATCAATTAAAATTACATCAGTCAGTCCGTCCAGTTTCATCGTGATTCCACAATCGTGGAAATTCATGCAGAAATCAGCAAATCCCTGCACTTTTTCCACATCAGTTCACTCAGTGCGAAAAAGTGCAGCGACTCGTTTTTTTTTTGTAAATTTTCAGCAAAAGTGATCAGACATCGGGTTAAAGTGATACTAATTCTCACCTGCAGGTGGCAGTACTTCTTACTACTATGACTACAACACTGCCACCTCAGTCTGGTTGATGCAAAGTTAATAGTACGATCGATGTGGCGACTAACATAAAGTTCTATTTACCATTATAAGTAAGCACAAATATCACATAATGTCTTGCAAATATTTAAGTTTGATTCCAAAAACAAAGCAAAATCCTGGAGGGACTGATCAGTGTGAACATATGTTCAATGTTTAATGTTAAAAGAGGCAGTGTTACGCATTTCCCAGGCACATTGTGCCATTTTATAGCACAATCACTTGATTACCTTCAGTCGTTCTAAAAATCATAGTATGCAGACAGACTGTTAATAGTGTTTTAACAGTTTGTTGATGAGTTTTATCAATGCCTTTTGGCACAAATGGCCCTTTGAGAACATTCATAATCTAGATACAACACCAAAATTAAAATGAGTTTGACACACACTAACCTCTCTGTCGCCCCTGGATGCTCCGCAGTGCCAGGATGTTCTGCTCGTCGGCCAGGAACTGCCTCATCTTGTGGAAGGGCTCCTTCCCCCGGATGGTCAGCTTGTTCCAGGGCTTGGGTCGGGCCAGGATCTCGCTGACCGAGCCCTGAGAGAGTCCCAGCACGTAGTGGCCGAACACTCGCTGGCCAATGTTGTGCTTGATCAGCTGCTCTTTCACCTGCCGGGCGATCTCCGCCGTGTCCATGTCCTCCCCGTCCAGGACGCCGCCGCCAGCGGTGGTGGCGTCCGAGTGGCTGGGTGACGGCGACGGGGCGCCGCCCGCCGTGCCGCTCCCGTTGACGGGAGCCATATCGGGGCTGGCGGGGGGCGGCTGGGGACTGCTGGCCGCCAGCGGGACGGCGGCCGACGCCGAGCCGGGGGTGGAGGTAGGGATGGAGCTGAGCGCCGGGGTGAAGGGCGTGAACAGCAGGGCGCCGCTGTGGATCCCCGACGAGTCCTGCAGAGCTTTGGAGTAGAACGTTTGGAGGAGCTGCCGCTGAATCAGAGAGTTCAGCGCCATCTTGCTGCCGACCAGGGGGAAGACGGGGGAGTACAGCTCCTGTCCGATGCCCGTCGGGGTGAAGGGTGGGGCCTCGCTGCTGACGGCGGCGGCGTTCAGGGGGTCTACGTGAGCGCGAGATAAGGGGTGTTGAGAGGAAGAGGATGAAGGGAGAGAGGGCTCGCTGTTGACGCCGTCCTCCTTCGCTGCGGACTCTTCTGTCCCTTTCCGCCCGGCTGACCCTACAAGAAAGGTCAAAACACAATGCATTATGGGGGAGTCAACAAAAAAGGGGGTTCCAAAACAAGAGAGAGCAAAAAAAAAAAAAAAAAAAAAAAATAATTTTTTTGGGGGTTTTTTTTTTTTTTTTATTAAGGTCTTTTTTTTTTTTTC